TGAGGCTTATTTGGAAGGCCCGGGTCTTGTTCTACTGGAAAAAAACAGAAACATGGAAAACATTTTGTTGGGGAAGAAGAAGAAGACAGCGATGCAGAGAATAAGGAAGAAGAAGACTTAGACCAGACAAAGAAGAAGACAGGAATGCAGAGAATAAGGAAAAAAAAGACTTTAGACTAATTAGGAATTGACTACTTTATTACTAGTTGATATGTTTGCTAATATTCTGCCGAGATAGACATTACATATATTATGTCTTCAATAGTTTTTTGTTTATAAAAATTACAGTTTTAATTGTACCAAAAATAGTTATAGTTTTAATCAAAATAATAAATAATTATTTAATTGTAAACTAAATATAATTGTATATGCTTTAAAGACACATATTTTTATCTGAGTAAACTTCATATATATTAAATAAGTATATACTCTAAATAAACAAATTTTATTAATTTACCTAATTATACTATTTATAAATATTTTCTTTCTCAAAGAAACGGGGGATAATTTCTAAATTAATTATTATCATGTAAATTTTTTGACAAATTACGTTCTCGCGAAGATCATGAAAATTTATAAATTGTACATAATAGAATTGACCCTTTAGTTCTCCACTATATGCTATGTTGTGACACATATTTTAAGACTAATTATAAATTACATGATTTGAGAATGAGCTAAAATAATTTTAAAAAATGACAAAAAAGAATATTCTTATATTATATTTGATTAGCACCACCAATTAATATTGAGTTATCGAAATACTTGAAATATAATTAATTATTCATAGTTAATGTTATATAGCTTTCAAACAAATCACATTAATTGACTAGGGAACTCTTCTTGTTAGATCATTTGATTCTTCCTATCAAATACAAGTTATGAACTATCGAAATACTTGAAATCTAAATAGATGTTTGATTGGAAATAACAATTGACTTTATCTCACTAATTTGACCGATAACAAGATATATCCACCATCGTATTAGGGATCCCTCTTGTTAGATTGTTTGATTCTTTCTATCAATACAAGTTCTAGAATATCGAAATACTTTAGAAATATGACAAAGAAGAATATTAGCGAATTTTAGAAAATAAACAAAGAATGAGAGAACTTAATAACACTTAATTTATACAATTAATATTGAGCTATTGAAATGCTTGAAATATAATTAATTATTCATGATTAAGGTTATATAGCTTTCAGACAAATCACATTAATCGACTAGAATAGGAAACTCTTCTTGTTAGATCATTTGAGTCTTCCTATCAATACAAGTTATGAACTATCGAAATACTTGAAATCTAAATATATGTTTGATTGGAAATAACGATTGACTTTGTCTGACTAATTTGACCGATAACAAGATATATCCACTATCATTTTAGGGATCCCGTCTTGTTAGATTGTTTGATTCTTTCTATCAATACAAGTTCTAGAATATCGAGCTAATTAATATTGACCAATTGAAATACTTGAAATATAATTAATTATTCATGATTAAGGTTATATAGCTTTCAGACAAATCACATTAATCGACTAGAGTAGGAAACTCTTCTTGTTAGATCATTTGAGTCTTCCTATCAATACAAGTTATGAACTATCGAAATACTTGAAATCTAAATATATGTTTGATTGGAAATAACGATAGACTTTGTTTGACTAATTTGACCGATAACAAGATAATCCACTATCATATTAGGGATCCCGTCTTGTTAGATTGTTTGATTCTTTCTATCAATACAAGTTCTAGAATATCGAGCTAATTAATATTGATCTATTGAAATACTTGAAATATAATTAATTATTCATGATTAAGGTTATATAGCTTTCAGACAAATCACATTAATCGACTAATTTAATCAATAATAAAATATACACAATATCATATGTAATTAAATAATGTTTAAGGTTATATGATTTTGGGGTTTGAGGTTTTAGTTTTGGAGTTTGATTAATAATTATATTTCTATTAAAATTAAAAAATATTTCCAAATTAAAATGATAAAACTAAATGGTACAAACATCATTTAATGCAATATTTTACTATCCCATGAAAAGTGACGTGAATTATCTTGTTCAAAAAGTGAATTATCATCATAAACTCCACCCATCATAATACCTTTTTGTTTATTTAATGAATTATTTGTGCAATAAGTCTATTGTCATCGTAAACTACCCATCTCCCCATCAGAATATCTTTTTTCTCATTGAATGAATTTTCTTGTCCAAGAACATAGACAAACAAGCCATTCTCACTCTCTCTGCTTCATCTCGACTTTCTTTGAATCCATAGCCGAAAATTTTTAGAATTTTTCTTCACCCAATATCCCTTAAAATGGCTTCATCAACAGTTGTGAAACAAAAAGGAAAAGGCATTTCAAGACCAACAAAAAGTGTTGCATCAGATTTTGATGACAAACCCTTATGGAATCATGTTAAAGTTCTTTCAGTTCCTCCTAATGGAGGTGGAAACAAAGTGTGGTCTTGTAATTTTTGCAATAAACAAGTTACTGGTTCATATTCTAAAGTTAAAGCGCATCGTCTAAAGATCTCTGGTCATGGCGTTGCTATATGCAAAGAGATTACTCATGAAGTATGTGCAACATTGAAGATGGAGAACGAAGAAGCTGAAAAGAAAAAAACTGACACACAACTGAATGCAAGAAAAAAGGCAGATTATGTATCTCTACCGGAAGGCTCAGACTTATCACAACTGAAAAAAAGTAAAGGTTCAAATGGTGGAGTACTAGAGAAATCTTTTAACATTTGTAACAGAAACATTGCTGACAAGTTGGCGGCTCGTATGTTCTACGCATCAGGTTTATCATTTAACCTTGCAACGTTTCCTTACTATAAAAAATATTCGGAGTTTTTGGCAGAAAATTCTTTGCCTGGTTATGTTACGCCAACTTTTAATAGGTTAAGAACAACTCTTTTGGCCCAAGAAAAGGCTCATATTAATAGAAAACTACAACCTATTAAAGATACATGGAAAAGAAAAAGATTGCCGATTTGTTCGGATGGATGGTCAGATATTAAAAGGCGACCATTGATAAATATAATGGGAGCATCTAGTGGCGGACCAATATTCTTAAAATCAATCAATTCAAGTGGGATTATTAAGGATGGTGAATATATTGCTAAGTAATTTTTTTAAGCCATAGAAGATGTCGATGCAAAGAATGTTGTCCAAGTTATCACTGATAATGCAGGTAATATGAAGCTTGTCGGTTCTATTGGAGTATGGGGTATTTTGTTGTGGGAATGGTTACTTTGGTGAGCCTCATGTAATTGATGCTATGGGGTATGAGGAGCCTTTATATTGGTGGGCTAACCATGGTGTAAATGCTCCACTTTTACAAAATCTGGCTTACAAATTGCTTTCCCAGCCAACTTCTTTATCTTGTTGCGAGAGAAATTGGAGTACTTTTTCATTGATTCATAGCATCAAGAGAAACAAGCTAGCTACTTCTAGAGCCGAAGATTTAGTTTTTATCCATTATAATCTTCGCTTGCTCTCTCGAAGAAAGGAAAAGTATACAAGTGGTCCAAGCAAATATTGGGATTTAGGTATATCCGTATATATACATATCCATGATTTGATATTTCTTGAGTAATTTCTTTAGCATGATAAGTTCCTTTCACAATCTTCTAAATTTATTTTGGTATTGTTTTAGGTGTGGATTATTTTAATATTGATGAAAGTATCAATGATCTAGTTGAATTGTCAATAGACGAACCTCAACTAGAAGGAGTCTTCTTTGAAGAGGAAGTTCAAGATTTGCAAGAAGTTGACATTGAAGAGATTGAGGAAGATGACCTTTGAATAGAATGTACTCATGCACAATGTTTCAAGTGACAAGTCTAGCGTAGTTTAAATGTGTATGCTATGTACTTATTTTTTGTCTATGAACTTGTGAACTTACAATTTCTGTAAGACTTTTTGGTGGTCATTTGAGTAACTTAATTTGAATAGCTAATTATTTAAAACTTTTGAATAGTGACTCTTGAATATATGTTAGTCTATTTAGTTCTAAGTTCTAATTTCCAAAGGTATGTTTCATTTCTTTTGTATCTTTAAATCTCTTTATAACTTTTATTTGTTATATTTCAACAAGTTTATAATAACTTATTTTAATACTTTGTTGTGCGAGTTGTAGGAAAATTAATGAATCATGCCATTTTGGAGAGTGTTTACGTGCCTGCCTACAACTTGAAAACTAAATGACTCAGTTATTACACTCTACAAGGCACAAGTTACACGTAAGTTTTTCATATAAACTCTCATAATTATGCATATCTCTATAACTATATTTTTAGATTTTTAATTTATTTTTGCCGAATCTCCGCACCCGTACCTAGATCCGTATCCTCGAATCCTAAAATTTAGACCATGAAGGATCCGACCTTTGGATCCGCACCCGTGTCGGACACCTGCACACGAGTCCGAGTAACTTAGCTTTGAGCAACCTTCAACAATCACAACTCATAGTGCTGCAATCCACACATGGAGTTTCAGGGTGAAATTAGAAAAAGCAGATATTCTAGTACCATAATTCACATGTTGACAAAAAATGTAGGTCTAAGCAATACTTGCAATTGGCAGGCAAATTGATCCCCAAAAGATGAAGTGGAAGAGAAGGCTCTTGGGGGGCAATTGCTAAGCAGGGTAGAGTTGCTTAAAGAGGACTTTGACAAAGAGTGTAAACTACCTAACTCCTTAGATGGCCTTAAGCATTGAGCTTGATTTAGTTCAATTGCTCTTAATTTTTGTTCAATAGCCATTGTTATGAAAATGTATCGTCTTAGTGTATATGTGGATGATATTATCTTACTAGAGATGGTGTCCTAAATCTAAGCAAATTGAAGGCTTACTTGTGCTGATAGTTTCAGACCATTGAGGTTATATAAGAATCCAGTTTGCTCCGTTTGAACAAGACTTTACATATCACAAAGAGAGTGTGTTATAGACTAGAAATCAATTACTCAGTCTAAATGAGTTGACGCAATAAAAAGTACTTTTGACAACAAAAAAGTACATGAACAAAATGACTAGTGTTGTTATCCTTATACATTTGACCAACTTTGAGCTGTATCACACATAGATAGGCCGGATAAGACCTCACTCCGCAAAAGAATGAAATATTTGTGTAAAAAAATTGAGCATAAAAATGTTTTTGATTCCCACAAGTTCACAAGACTAGTCGGTTCAGTGCATTGGTTACAAGTTAACATCTTCCACAGGTGACAAAAAGGATTCCAGTAACATCTCCTGTTGAGGCAATAGCAATGACCATGCTGATGCCCAGGTGACTGGTGGTAGTGTTTTCTGATAATGCCTCAAAAGATTAATCATGCGTTTTGCAGTTTCTTCGGTAGCAAGATCCTCTCCAGCACATATAATCTAGTACAAAAGAACCAAGTATCAATTACTTAATGGCTACATTAGCCCAATGCATGCACAAGCATTCCGCATTCACGCAGTGTGGGAGAAGGGCCACTCCAAGAGTGTGATGTAGACTAACGCAAGAATTAGTGGCTACTTCCACGGCTCGAGCCTGTGACATATAGGTCACACGGAGACAACTTTACCGTTGAACCAAGGATCCCCTTCTTAATGACTACATCAGCATAAACTTCATAAAATGTAAATGTCACACTACACTAGGACTGTCGTATTAACAACAACAAATCCAGTATAATCTCACGAGTGGGGTCTGGGGAGGATAGTGTGTACGCAGACCTTACCCCTGCCTTGAGGGTAGATACATAAGATACATAAGATTTCTATTGCCTTTCTTTCCTCAATTTCTCCCAATTACACGAGGGGCCTGGGAAATGGTAAGGGAGAGGGGGACAGTGAGAATCAAATCACACCTATTGTCCGAGACTCCCATGGATACCACTACATTATGGTTTTCTATTGCCTTTCATACAAAAGTAAATCTTAAAATCACGGTTGAGAAATTATTTATATCAAAGACAAATAAACAACTCATTCTAACACCTGCTAGCTGCGATTTTGAACTAACCTCTGCAAAAACTGAAATAACTTTTGGAAGGTGTAGATAGTTGTGACCCAAAAGTTCTTCGTCTGATCTGTAAGTCAGAAGCTTTGGTAAAACAGTGAAGACTAAAACACATAAATACGTCAGATTATATTTAAGAGTCTGCAAACTTAAGTTAAACTAAATTGGCACTGTCACGAAGAGATTGGCACTAAATAAATGTAGTTTATAACGAGATATCAATTATTAAAACATAATCTTGACGTAATTTTGCTAGAACAAATAAAACAAAACTGTTCTAGTTGTGTAACGACCAGACCGATCGTTTTACTTTCTAGATCCCGTTCCCCTAAATAAGACTCCAAGTATGTGCTTTTACTGTTTTATGATTTGCGGAACGTTCAGGATTTGGAAGGGTTCGGGTTGAAATCGGAACACTTAGTTCCTTATTATTGGCTTAAAAGGGTTAAATTTGACTTGGATCAACATTTGTAGTAAACGACCTCGGAACCGGGATTTGACGGTCCCAATAGGTTTGTATGATGATTTTGGACTTGGGCGTATGTTCGTATCGGGTTTTGGATGACCCGGGAGCGTTTCAACGTTTAATATTGAAAGTTGGCACCTTGAAGGTTTTTCAAGTTCTTTAAATTTGGTTTTGGTGTTATCGAGATCCGTTTGGGATTGCGAGCCCGGGAATAGTTTCGTATGGTGATTTAAGATTGCACACAAAATTTGGTATCATTCCGAGTAGTTTAAGTATGATTCGGCGCGTTCGGAGCAAGTTGGAAGAACTTGAAGTTCATAAGTTGATTCAATTTGGTTTGGAGTGTCATTCTTAGTTTTGGTATTGTTTTCCGTGTTTCGAGAGGTCGAGCAGGTCCGTCTTATGTTTACGAACTTATTGGTATGTTGGGGCGGGGCCCCGGGGGCCTTGAGTGCCATTCGGACGATGCGCGGACCAAGTTTGGACTTAATAGAACTCCTGATGCACTAGTTCTGGTGCGTCCGCAGCTACGAGATTTTGGCCGCAGGTGCGAGCTTTTGACCGCAAAAGCGGCCTGGCGTGGACTGCCCAGTGATCGCAGAAGCGAGGCGTGGACCGCATCTGCGAAGGCGCAGGAGCGAGACAGGCGATGGCAGAAGCGGGGAATGTCGCAGGTGCGACGCGTACGCCGCAGAAGTGGGCTCGCAGAAGCGAGCCGTTGTCCGCAGAAGCGAAGGAGGCAGACCTGGGCTTAGTCCGCACCTGCGAGGTTTTGTCCGCAGAAGCGGAGCTGCAGGCGCGACAGTGGCACCGCAAGTGCGAAAACCGTTGGGCAGTGAGGTACATTTAAGTCAGGACTTAGATCATTTTTGACTCATTTCTTTCATCTCTTGGGCGATTTTGGAGCTTCTTGGAGAGGGGTTTTCACCTAGCTATTGAAGGTAAGTAATTTTTATCCAATGTAAGTTAAATACATAGATTATGGGTAGATTTTAACATGTAAAATTGTGAAAATTATGGGTTTAGTTGAAAAACCCAGGTTTTGATAAAAATGGGATTTAACCACGAAAATGATTATAGAATTGGGTGAAAATGATATATTTGAGTTCGTGAGGTTATGGGTAACAATTATCTTCGAAAATTTTCAGAATCAGGGCCCGTGGGTGAATTTTAGGAATCTTCCAATTAGGGGTGGGTAATTACCTAAATTATGAACTTTTGAGTATATATTGATTAATATTTGGCTAGTTTCGAATTGTTTGGCACCAAGTTGAGGATTTAGAGCGTATTTGAGGATCGGAAGTGAGCTTGAGAACGAGGTAAGTCTCTTGTCTAACCTTGTAAGAGGGAACTCATCCCCTTAGGTGTATTTTTGTTGTGAATTATTTGTGTGGGGAGCTACATACGCACTAGGTGACGAGAGTCCGTGTGTAGCTATATTCCATGAGATGTCCGGGTAGTCTTAGATTTACATCATGCTCTGATTGTACTGTCATGCTTGTTGTGCATATTAATTATCTTGAATAGAGCTGAGACTAGAGATTTTAAAGTAGAAAACTTCCAAGTTAGATTTCTTATTTGGGGAAAGAATTGAGGAATACTTAATAACTCTGAGAAATCCATGTTCTCTCGCGTCACAAGTACTTCCGCGAGCGAGGTAAACTTCTCTATTCTCATGGGAACGGGCCGTTCGCCTCGGCAGTATAATAGATGCATCTATGGTTCGTGCCGTTTGACCCTCGGCAATGCACATAGTATTTTGGATCGGGTCGTACGACCTCGGCATAAATCGTGCGTGATAATACTCGGAACCCGATTACACTTGATATTATGTTATGGCTTGAGAGGTATAATTTATTTAATAACCGTAAGTGATTTGGAACTAGTATGTGTTAGATGAAGATTTTGGAATTTATTATCAATTAAAGAATCATTTATTCAATGCTTTTTATTGTGTTATTATTATTATTATTTCCATATTCCATAACTATTTAGAGTTTTTGCATTTTATTATTGGCCCATAATAAGTGTCAATGTCGACCCCTCGTCACTACTTCTTCGAGGTTAGACTGGATACTTACTGGGTACATGTTGTTTATGTACTCACGCTACACTTCTGCACTAATCGTGCAGGATCTGAGGCAGGTGCATCTGGCAGTCATTCCGGCGCGCACCCCCGATACCCCGAGGCTTAGCAGTGAGCTGCTTCCGAATCCGTTCTGCAGCACTCGGAGTCTCTCTTTTGCATTTACTTTCTGTTTACTCTATTTCAGACAATAGTTTAGTGTTTTGTATATTCTACTAGTAGCTCATACACTTGTGACACCAGGTCTTGGAAATATGCTAGTAGACATTTGGTTTTTGAGTATTTATTACACCACACTTGCTCTCATATTTATTTATGCTTTATTTTATTAAATTTTTCACCTCTTACTTACTTAATAAATGAAAATCAACTATTTCAAAATTGTTAAAAAGAATAAATACATGGCTAGTTCACCGTTGGCTTGCCTAGCGGCGACGTTAGACGCCATCGCGGCCTATAGGAGAAATTGGGCCGTGACAAGTTGCATTATCGTAGTAAACTCGTAAAACTAGTTGGATACTAAAATTTTACCTCAAGCGATTTATTTGGCTAATGATTGCTTAGTTTTCCCAAGATGTGGTATTAGGAAATTTATTTGGAACGTATGCATGCTGGCATTAAGAACACATAATTTATCCATGGAAAACATATCTAATCATGTCCTCATGAGTACACCAAAAAAACATATCTAATCATGTCCCCATATTGTAATCTTTCTTTTCTAGATTTATTGAATAAAATATATGAAACAAATTATAATGAAGATCTGAAATAGTAAAGTGGAGCAGATGAAGATGAAAACTAGAGCAAAATAATCCAATACCTTTCAACCATCAAACATAGCTCGTCATGAACATATTTGGCTTCATGCAAGTCACGCTTTATAGGCAGGCAGTTCAACCAAATCGGAATAATCTATCAAAAGAAATTGGAATAAGAATTGTGAAGAAACTATAACAAGATCATGATGTACATCCGAGAAACGTCACTTTATCTACTGTTAGTTTACAGATATGTACATAATGTAGTCTTGTCCCACATTGGAATAAAAGTAATATGTCCTTGTAGAGTATAGCTATAAATAAGGACCTCTTGTATTGTATTGAGTATCTAATATCAATAATATATTTTCTCCCGTGCTTTCTCACATGGTATCAGAGCAATCGTGAGAGATTTATCGCTGTGCATAAATTCCAGCGACTCTGGGAAGAGAAATCAGTCAACCGGAAGTCTTTTTTCCGGCAAACACAGGTCTGCCGCAGTAAAAAAAAAAGAAGCTATTTTTCGTCAGTGTTGTGCAAAAACCAACACCGCCACGAAGTAGATCGGCCTCCGGCGACCAACCCATAAAAATATCTCCGTCAAAAGACCTTTCACGCGCTACCACGCGCCGCTGGAAGAAATTTTTCCGGTGAAGTTACGACGTCCCTTTCCGGTCACTTTTTGAAAAAATTTCTTTGGGACAGATTGTTCGCAAGGGAATTCCGAGCCTACCCATCCAGGTTACACCAAATTCTGACCACCTTTATATTTTTCCAGCGTGAACAGTGTTTTTTCCAGCAGCTACAGTAAGATTCCGATGACTACATTATTTCCTTACTCTGTTTCAGTGGATTACAGTTGATTCTTTCTCTTATTTGGTAATAATTTGCAACGTTGTCTTTGGGATTTGATGTTTTTGGGTTTAGAAACATGAGTTGTGGAAGCTCTAGTGTTATGATTACCCCGGAACCTTTAATGGGAAGTTCAAACTACTCAGCTTGGGCTTCATCTGTCGAGTTGTGGTGTAAAGGTCAAGGTATTCAAGATCATCTAATCAAACAGTCTAGCGATGGAGATGAAAAGGCAATAGCACTTTGGGCAAAAATCGATGCTCAGATATGTAGCATCTTGTGGCGATCTATTGAGTCCAAGTTGATGCCCTTGTTTCGTCCATTCCAGACATGTTATTTGGTTTGGGCAAAGGCTCGTACCTTATACACTAATGACATATCTCGCTTCTATGATGTGATATCGCGGATGACAAACTTAAAGAAGCAGGAATTAGATATGTCTACTTACTTGGGTCAAGTACAGGCAGTCGTGGAGGAATTTGAAAAGTTGATGCCAGTTTCTGCTAATGTTGAAAAACAACAAAAGCAGCGACAGAAGATGCTTCTAGTTCATACCCTCGTTGGACTTCCTAATGATCTTGATTCAGTACGCGACTAGATTTTGGCTAGTCCGACTGTCCCCACAGTTGATGAAGTATTCTCTCGATTACTCCGCCTTGCTGCAGCACCAAGTCACCCAGTGATCTCATCACAGATACTTGATTCCTCTGTTCTCGCATCCCAGACAGTGGATGTTCGGGCGTCTCAAACTATGAAAAATAGACGAGGGGAGGTCGTTTTGGAAGATCTAGACCAAGTGTTTTTTATTGTCACAAATTTGGACACATTCGTGAAATGTGTTATTCCCTACATGGTCGTCCACCCAAAAATGCTTACACAGCTCAAACCGAGACTACAGGTAACCAGGGATTTTCTTTATCTAAAGAAGAATATAATGAGCTCCTTCAGTATCGAGCAAGTAAGCAGACATCTCCACAAGTAGCCTCGGTAGCTCAGACCGATACTTCTGTTGCTGGTAATTCTTTTGCTTGGGTTTCCTAGTCTAGTACTCTTGGACCATGGGTCATGGACTCAGGCGCTTCTGATCACATCTCTGGTAATATATCACTTTTGTCGAATATTGTATATTCACAGTCTTTTCCCACTGTTACTTTAGCCAATGGATGTCAAACTAAGGCAAAAGGAGTTGGACAAGCTAATCCCTTGTCTTCTATCACCATAGATTCCGTTCTTTATATCCCTGGTTGTCCTTTTAGTCTTGCATCTATTAGTCGTTTGACTCGTGCCCTCCATTGTGGTATATATTTTATTGACGATTCTTTTATTATGCAGGACCGCAGTACGGGACAGACAATTGGTACAGGACGTGAATCAGAAGGCCTTTACTACCTTAACTCACTCAGTCCTTCCACAACATGTCTAGTTACAGATCCTCCAGATCTAATCCACAGACGTTTAGGACATCCGAGTTTATCCAAACTTCAGAAGATGGTGCCTAGTTTATCTAGTTTGTCTACATTAGATTGTGAGTCGTGTCAACTTGGGAAACATACCCGAGCCTCCTTTTCGCGTAGTGTTGAGAGTCATGCAGAGTCTGTCTTCTCCTTAGTTCATTCTGATATATGGGGTCCTAGTAGAGTCAGTTCATCCTTGGGATTTCGTTATTTTGTCAGTTTCATTGATGATTATTCAAGATGTACTTGGCTTTTCTTAATGAAAGATCGTTCTGAGTTATTTTCTATATTCCAGAGTTTCTGTGCTGAAATCAAAAACCAATTTGGTGTTTCTATTCGCATTTTTCGCAGTGATAATGCCTTAGAATATTTATCTTCTCAATTTCAGCAGTTTATGACTTCTCAGGGAATTATTCATCAGACATCTTGTCCTTATACCCCTCAGCAAAATGGGGTTGCTGAGAGAAAGAATAGGCACCTTATTGAGACTGCTCGCACACTTCTAATTGAATCTCGTGTTCCGTTGCGTTTTTGGGGCGATGCAGTTCTCACAGCTTGTTATTTGATTAATCGGATGCCTTCATCTCCCATCAAGAATCAGATTCCGCATTCAGTATTGTTTCCCCAGTCACCCTTATACTCTCTTCCACCTCGTGTTTTTGGGAGCACGTGTTTTGTTCATAACTTAGCCCCTGGCAAAGATAAGTTAGCTCCTTGTGCTCTAAGTATGTCTTCCTTGGTTATTCTCGTGTTCAAAAGGGATATCGTTGTTATTCCCCTGATCTTCGTAGGTACCTTATGCCAGCTGACGTCACATTTTTTGAGTCTAAACCTTTCTTTACCTCTGCTGACCACCATGATATATCTGAGGTCTTACCTATACCGACCTTTGAGGAGTTTACTATAACTCCTCCTCCACCTTCGACCACAGAAGTTTCACCCATACCAACCGTTGAGGAGTCTAGTGTTGTTCTTCCTAGATCCCCGGCCACAGGAACACCACTCTTGACTTATTATCGTCGTCTACGCCCTACATCAGGCCCAGCTGGTTCTCGTCCTGCACCTGACCCTGCTCCTACTGCGGACTTATCTCTTCCTAGTACACCGATTGTACTTCGAAAAGGTATACAGACCACTCTTAATCCTAATCCCCATTATGTCGTTTTAAGTTATCATATCTTCTTTGTCCTCGGTTTCCATCCCCAAGTCTACAGGTGAAGCGTTGTCTCATCCAGGATGGCGACAGGCTATGAGTGACGAGATGTCTGCTTTACATATAAGTGGTACTTGGGAGCTTGTTCCTCTTCCTTCAGGTAAATCTACTGTTGGTTGTCGTTGGGTTTATGCAGTCAAAGTTGGTCCCTATGGCCAGGTTGATCGACTTAAGGCCCGTCTTGTTGCCAAAGGATATACTCATATATTTGGGCTCGATTATAGTGATACCTTCTCTCCCGTGGCTAAAGTAGCATCAGTCCGCCTTTTGGCTGCGGTTCGTCATTGGCCTCTCTATCAGATGGACATTAAGAATGCCTTTCTTCACGGTGATCTTGAGGATGAGGTTTATATGTAGCAACCACCTGGTTTTGTTGCTCAGGGGAGTCTCGTGACCTTGTATGTCGCTTGCATCGGTCACTTTTTGGTCTAAAGTAGTCTCCTCGAGCCTGGTTTGATAAGTTCAGCACGGTTATCCAGGAGTTTGGCATGACTCGTAGTGAAGCTGATCACTCTGTGTTTTATCGGCACTTTGCTTCAAGTCTCTGTATTTATCTGGCAGTCTATGTTGATGATATTGTTATTACTGGCAATGATCAGGATGGTGTTACCAATCTGAAGCAGCATCTCTTCCAGCACTTCCAAACTAAGGATCTAGGCAGATTTAAGTACTTTCAAGGTATTGAGGTTGCTCAGTCTAGCTCAGGTATTGTTATTTCTCAAGGAAAATATGCTTTAGACATTCTCGAGGAGACATGGATGATAGGTTGCAGACCTGTTGACACTCTGAATTCTAAACTTCTACCAAGACAGGGGGAGCCGCTTAGCGATCCTGCAAGCTATAGGCAGCTGGTTGGTAAATTAAATTATCTCACAGTGACTAGACCCGACATTTCTTATCCTGTGAGTATTGTAAGTCAGTTTATGAATTCTCCCTGTGATAGTCATTGGGATGCAGTTGTCCGCATTATTCGGTATATAAAATCGGCTCCAGGCAAAGGGTTACTGTTTGAGGATCGAGGTCGTGAGCAGATCGTTGGATACTCAGATGCTGATTGGGCAGGATCACCTTCTGATAGACATTCTACGTCTGAATATTGTGTTTTAGTAGGAGAAAATTTGGTGTCTTGGAAGAGCAAGAAACAGAATGTAGTTGCTCGGTCTAGTGCAGAAGCATAATATCGAGCAATGGCTATGGCAACATGTGAGCTAGTCTGGACCAAACAATTGCTCAAGGAGTTGAAATTTGGTGAAATCAGTCGGATGGAACTTGTGTGCGATAATCAAGCTGCCCTTCATATTGCATCAAATCCGGTGTTCCATGAGAGAACTAAACACATTGAGATTGATTGTCACTTCGTCAGAGAAAAATACTTTCAGGAGAGATTGCTATAACGTTTTGTGAGGTCGAATGATCAGCTTGCAGATATTTTCACCAAGTCCTTCACTGGTCCTCGTATTGGTTATATATGTAACAAGCTCGGTACATATGATTTGTATGCACTGGCTTGAGGGGGAGTGTTAGTTTACAGATATGTACATAATGTAGTCTTGTCCCACATTGAAATAGGAGTAATATGTCCTTGTAGAGTATAGCTAGCTATAAATAAGGACCTCTTGTATTGTATTGAGTATCTAATATCAATAATATATTTTCTCCCGTGCTTTCTCACATCTAGAATGATCAAAAGCTATATGTTTTTAGTATATTTCGCCTGAGGAGCACATGCACAATGAAACAGATCCTTGTTAGAATGTATTAACCAAAGGCAAATACAATATAGCACCAATCACCATATGTGAGGATTTTTCGGCTTTTTCACTAAAATATCTCATGGTAAAATAAATTAGATGTTCTATTTGTTCCAATTTAGGGAAGTCTAAAAATGTTTGACACTATTTCACAAATAAATACTATTCTATACGAATACACTTTGATATTTCAAGAATATCAAAGTTTCACAATACGATCAAACTTTGATATTTCACAACTTTGACACTTTCACCAATTTCAAGAATATTTCAAATTATTGAAAATTTCACTATTCTTGAGCCGGGTCTTTTGGAAACAACCTCTCTAACGTCATAAGTTAGGGGTAAGGTTTGCGTACACTTTATACTCCCAGTGTTATCAAAGGCGCGCTTAAGCCCTAAAGCGAGGTTCAAAACACGTTAAGCGCTTCGCCTCGCTTAACGGGCGCTTCAGTGTTGTCATCAAGGCGCTAAGGCATGCTTTTCCTTGCCAATAAGCGCAATCTTGAAGAGACGACACTAAACAATTGATATTTCACTTTATCGTAAATTCTCTTCAATTTTTTTGTCCATATATTTGGTATTCATACTTATAGATATTAGTCTTGGACTACACATACATATTACTAGTTTTACTCTATTTGCGCCTTTCTTCCTTAAAGCCCACGCTTTATTTGCGCTTAAAGCCCCAACAAACCTTAGAGCTTTTTTGCGTTTTTCGCCTTTGATAACATTGTATCCTCCCCAGATCCCACTTGTGGGATTTCACTGGGTTTGTTGTTGTTGTTGTTTCAGATTATTGAAAATTCAAACTTTAAACGTTGATGTGATACGATATCTATCAAACTATGTTTTCGGCTATTACGTTAGTATTTTCTTCCACTACCATAAATAAACATATAAGCAAGTCAAATATTGTCATATAATATGGGATAACTGTAGCAAGTCAAAAAGGAAATAACTCAAAGGGATCTCTTTTAGCAAGTATAACTTAAAAGAGAAAATGGAGGAAGCTCAGTATACATGTATATGCAAAAACAAAATTTGTTTTTCCTTTTTTCCACGGAAGGAAAGGAAAGGACTCTGCAGGGGGTACGATATGAGCAACTGTATTAAGTAATCTGGAAAACAACCGAAATAGAAAATAAAAAAAGGCTCAATAACTAGCAAAATGGAAACAATCATGCAATTAGGAACCAATTTCTAGAAAGCTTAGAAATTACAAGCATATTGATCAATAACAACAACAACAAACCCAGTGAATCCCACAAGTGGAGTGTGGGGAGGGTGAGATGTAAGCAGCCTTACGCCTACCCTGGAGGACATATAGGTTGTTTCCGGAAGACCCTCAGCTAAAGAAAAGATAAAAAGAAATAATGACAACAAGTATAAACAAAAACAACAAGATAAAAAGAGGGTCGGCGCCAAGGTAACAATTAAACGGTAGTAATAGCAATCTAAGAATAAAGGGATAACAACCTAACACTAATGATGTCGAACGGAAGAAGACGAAGGGAAACAATAGACTGCCCACTAACCTTCTACCCTAATTCTCGACCTCCACACCCTCCTATCAAGAGTCATGTCCTCAGTAAGTTCCTGCAGCGCCATATCCTGTTTAATCACCTCCCCAAGACTTTTTTGGCCTACCTCTACCCCTCCTCATACCCACCAAGGTTAACCTCTCACACCTCCTAACTGGGGCCTCTATGCTTCTCCTCTCAACATGCCCGAACCATCGCAACCTCGCCTCCCGCATCTTATCCTCCAAGGGGGCCACTCCCACCTTATCCCGAATAACTTCATTCCTAATCTTATCCAACCTGGTATGCCCACACATCCATCTCAACATCCCAATCTCAGCTACAAGCATATTGATCACTTATTAAATTATTAATCATATTAAATTGCATAGAACAAAAATATCCATGTCGCCTTGTCGGGTTAACTAAAACACTCACCAAATAAAGGATGCAATAAGTAAATAAATAAGACAAGAATTACTGGAAATTCTTCTAGATCTGTACACGTATGGTTAAGAAGTTCATCACACTACTATATCCTATTCTAATGCAATTGTTAAGTTATAGGACTAATGCAACTGCTTTAAGACGGATATTAGGATGGATAAAAAAAATAATTGCAGGTTTCAAACTAGTTGATACATGCAATGAAGTAGGCACTAAAGATCTTAAATGTACACCTTACATTTCGGAATTCCAACCCAAGTATAAATGACCATTAAGTCATAAGAATGCATAAACAAATAAACTTTAGGGATTTGAGAAGGACAAACCTGGGCTGAGTCAATATTTTCCCGGTGAAACTGACATATCTTACCAAGTGCAGAAACAGCATTATCATATGCATGTTCATTCTCAAGTTCACGAGCCCGAAAATGCATTATCACTACATTGATCCTTGAAGTAGTCTCTGAATCAGGTCGCAATATTTAGTAAAATACAAAAAAAAAATAGTATTACTTTCGTCCAGTTCCACATGACGAGAAGGATCTCAATATCACATTCAACGTTATCATACCTCTAACAAAAGGTTTGAAAACAGAACCACCATATTCCGCATAAAGCCCGAGTCCATAAAGAGCACACTGAGCACAACATAATGGTATTTGGTTAAATCATATGGTGAGAAACTTGAATAAAAAAATCTCTCGACAACCACTAAGATACGCAAACCTGTCTAACAGCCGGGCATTCGTCATTGCTTGCATCCAAGAACAAAGGTAGAAATACATCACAGTACCTAGTTGACATGGGAAATAATTTTATTTCAAAACATTGACTCCAACCATTTAAGAAAAACTCATACAGACAAACCCACTTTAGAGCCGCTTCAGGGCACTCCTCGACAAGACCATCAAAGATAAAAATTGATGTACGTCTCTCTTGAGCTGTTATATCTTTGCCCTTCATAGAAGCAAGAAAAATCGAAAAATAAACAATAAGATAGATAACTAAACAAACCAGAGAGTTAGAATGACCGTGCTTATCATGTCCCGAACTTACCCACATAGGAAAAAGATATGACGACAGCTCGTCAAAGAAATGCAAGGAAGCAGCCTTGAAGTTTTTTATCAATGTATCCAATATTGCACCAACCTGATAAAAAAGTTTACCTTATTCAAGAATAATTGCAGAACCAAAGTGAAAGACCGCATAAAGACAACAGTGTGTCACTTGTATCTGAACTTCATTCTTAAAAAGGAACATACATGGGAGAAAATTAGATCTTCTTGCATTTTTTCACCCTTCAGCAATTCAGCTTCCTCAGCATCAAAATCTTCTGTTTTTGCTCTCTCTGCGAGTTTTCCTTTTCTATTTGAACTTTCTGTAATGACATGCTTTAGCTCATCCACAATCCGGCGAAGCTGACTTTCATTGAGAAGTGCGCCACAGATCTGAAAGAAGAAACAGAAGGACCACAGAACCTGAAAATTATATCCCTTTTTCTGCCACTGTTGCTATTTCTCACTTTGACAGTACTAGTGGAAAATTTTAAACAACAGCCATATATACGTTGGATTAACAGGGGTTTACTGGAACAAAGTTTCTCTATAGAGTCAATCTAATACAAAGTTAATAGCCAGTTTGTCAGACTCACTAGTTTTACCTAGTCATGCCAAGAGAACTTTGTGATTGCGCTATCTGCCGTAAATTTGATTCCACACGTCAATAGCATTTTATTAAAGTTTAAGCATGTCTTTGTAGGTATAAATTCACACACATAGGAAGAATTAAATAGAGAGCTCCTACTTTACTTGATCCTCGTGTCTTCCTCTGTATAAGAGATGTCCTAAGCTTTCTTTTGCTTCTAGTAGAATATAACTGATAAGAGTCTGGTCGAGATTTCTGTTTAGATCTCTATTGAAGGAGAAGAAACTGAAGTTATTAACTGTGTAGAACATAAAGGCCAACAGTGTGATCAAGTTGGAACATGAACAGCTCAAAAGAAAGATACCACAAAATAGGAAAACACTGCACAATTAGATCAAGAATATTAAGGAAACAGAATTAGACATAACCAAACCTGCAGGCACCTATACAATTCATCCAACATGACTGCACATATTTCTGTCATAGGCTCCTGCACGAGATAACAAATCAAGTGTCACTTTCTCTTTATCCAAATCGTCTGAACTTATAACATTTTCCTCACCCCAAAAAGAAAAAAGAAAAGAAAATAAGAAACAACATAAATACTGATGTTAAGGACAACCTCATGCAAAGCTTCTACCATAGACAGTATTATATGGCCTGACAACTTTGTGAAATATGACTCACTTCCATCTTGAGCAATCCCTTTCTCAACAGCCAATTTAGCAGAATGCAACAGGAGGGCCATGGCTTAAACAAACAAATAAAATGGCATCAGCAGTTGGGATTTACATGAAAACAAAGAAACCATATAAAATCACGAGAATTCTCACCTTTAGCAGCCTGATTCCTGACTTCATTGTGGTAATAGAATTTCAAAAGTGGAACAAAGACTGAAACAACCTGATTCATGCAGTAAGCCATTGATATCAATTGCTGAATTTGACCTCACTCAACAGCACATGAGAAAAAAGAAAATGGACAGGTGATTATTCATGCCAAATGATGTTGGGCATATTGAATGTGTTTGTGTTAAATTTCTCCCAATTTTACCTCTCCTTGGTTGAATTTAGTGTTAAATATGATCAACTACGCTCAATAATTGTTTTACATGGACCAGTTGTTAATGGAATGCCTTAGCGGTATTTTGAAACAAATTGGAAAGAAAAAGGGGAAAATTCTGGGCTACAGAGGTGTCAGGCGACGCATGACCATCGCACCGAGATGGAACCGGGCTAGAAAAGTCTCCTTGCAGAACGCGAGAGGAGGAATTTCTGAGTATTGGAATTTCACACTTTGCAGTAAAGTCCCTTAAATGCGCACTTCATCGCGTGCTGCAGACCTGGAAGAGAACCTAAGCTCCCGAGGTGAGCCTCGCAGCGAGAGTTCTGGCAGAGCTATTTTCGAGTTCAAAGCGCGAGTACCGCGCTCTGGGCCTGAAGCTGAGTGGATTTTTATTTGACAAATTGAAGAACATGAGTGGCTAGTTTATTTATTTCTAGGATTATGGTTGATGGTTCTACACGGTTGTTGATATTTGAATTTTGATTTGACAAATTGATTTATCATATTGGGTTATTTATTCAATCTTGAGCTTAATTATTTGATTTTTTATCTCAATTGAATACTATCCTACAAATCTGGAAGTGAACTTGAAAAAAGTATTTCTTTATGGTAATAGGATTGAGTAGGACAAGTTTTGGGACCTTATTCATAATTAAGATAGAAATATACTTAATTGCCTTTCTTAATTGTTTTACAGGTTTTACTGTGTTCTTAATATTTCTAATTACATAGGCATGTAGGTGCAGTGTTATCAAAGGCAAAAAGCGCAAAAAGGCTCTAAGGTCTATTGGGGCTTTAAGCGCAAAGCGGAAATAAAGCGTGAGCTTTAATAAAAAAAGGCACAACTGGAGAAAAAGTAAAAATATATATATGTAATCCAAGACCAATAATTATAAGCATAAATAACAAATATATGGACAAAGAAATTGAAAAAAATTTACGACAAAATAAAATATCAATTGCTTAGTGTCGCCCTTTCAGGATCACTCATTGGCAAGGAAAAGTATGCCTTAGAGCCTTGATGCGACACTGAAGCGCTCGCAAAGCGAAACGAAGCGCTCAACATGTTTTGACCCTCGCTTCAGGGCTTAAGCGCGCCTTTGACAACGCTGTGTAGGTGTTAGACTAGTATGAATAGAAAAAAAAGGGCAGCCCGGTGCACTAAGCTCCCGCTATGCGTGGGGTCCGGGGAAGGGTAGGACCACAAGGGTCTATTGTACGCAGTCTTACCCTGCATTTCCGCAAGAGGTTGTTTTCAACGCTCGAACCCGTGACCTCCTTGTATGAATAGGTGAGTAGAAATTGAGATATTTCTGTGGGTACAGTTTTTCTTGTCAATTTAATTGTAGAATTCAACAGGACTGTTAGATATGCCATAACTCTAGAATACTATCTCCCATTAGAATCCAAAACCTTTATGTGTGTTGATCAAATTATTTTCCTTACTTCAAACTTTTAGTAGTCATAATCATTCTCAATAATCAAGCAACCTTTCTAGTTTAGATATTCAGAATTAGTTTAATATGGTTAAAAGTTAATCGTAAGTCCCTATGGGAACGATACTTGACTCACTTCTTTATTATTTGTCCGTTGTGTGTGCATTTGAGAGCAACACCAACCTGGGGAATCCATGGGTAGAAGTCTTCCTCTAATGTCAGAGCGTAGCTGCGCAGGACCAACCCCGCAAAGATAGTCATATCGGGTTCAAGTTGAGCACAATGAATCATAAACGGCATGACTGCACTCATATAAGGAAGAAAATCCTGTTCCAGGCAATTGCAAATTCTAGTACATGCCTGCAATGAAATTAAGAAAATAAAAAGCGGAAAATCTAAAAAGAAAGCTGATCTTAAAATTAAGTGATTTACACATACTATTAGCAAGTACTTAGTAGGAGGATCATCCCTATTTGTTTGTAATCCTTGTAATGATATAAGCACTTCCATAACCTTTAATGACAACAACAAAACAGGAAACAAATAAAAAGTAAGTTCTATGTTGAGAAATGACCAAAAGACAATAAGTGCACCCCAGCAAACGCCAAGAGAAGAAAAACAATGCCAAGAGAGGCGGACAGGTATCACTGTCATAATTTTGTTGCACATAATTGTTGAAAGAACTAGTAAATCAAACAAGAGTAATCTATATTATGGTTTGACTACAGTAAAGCCATCTGACAAAGCATAACAAATGACACAAACACAAAGCAATCCCAGTCAATGGCATCAATATACGTGTTTAGCATCCCATGAGTGAGGAACTAAAAAAGATGTGTTCAGTATCCTATGAGTATGGCATCAATGTAGGTGTTTAATAAATATGTGTTCAGTACTGGGAATAGTTGGTAAGAAGACCTGCTCTGCGTCTTCTCTAAATTTCTCCTTCCCACCAGCAAACCCAACAAAGCTTATGCACTCCATTGCTCTGGCACGAAGAATGAGATTAAGATCTGTCTTTATTGATACAGCTTTCAAGTGTGGCATAACAGTATCATAATAGGTCCGGAAGTGCTCCTGTTGACGTACAATATATCAGCCTTAACTTAAGCATAAAGAACTGAGTCAAGAATAAATGCACCAGTTAATACCCCAACACATTGAGCTATACGAGACAATGCCCATAATGCTTCTTCTTGGACCATTTGTTCACCATTCTGCATTTCAAGCAACAAAAAGCCAAAAAAGACACTATTAGTCTCTTGCACATATTAGCAGTGACATACCTCTGTAATTTGGTGGTATCCATATTTGCACACCTGTAGAAGTATAAGCAGTTTGTTAACTATTCCATCTAGGTAAGGTATCAAAGTTTCTGGTTTGTCAGACCCATAGAAAGCTGAGAGAGCTCCCGCGGCATATGCCTAAAAAAGCCAAAAAAGTAAAAGGACTAAATTAGTTGGCATCAGCAACTGACTGGATTCACATTTACCATATCTTTAGGCTTATGTATTTTTTCAAAACTTTATTTAAGGGTACTCTCTAGATACCTCCCCTGACATTTAGTAATAATTACTTCCTCTATAATCTCATATATTACAATCACTAAACGTTATCGTAATTCAGCAAGAAAGCTCTTATTGCAACAAAAATAATGTCATCAAATAAAATTTTCATAAACACACGACCGCAGCCAATGTATTAGATATAATAAAACAAAACTAATTGTACGAAATTCTAGACGGGATGTTGCGAAATACATCCTTAATTAGCTTCATGTTTCAGAAAGGCAAAAGTGATTGCTGAGGTCTTGAGGACCTGTTAGGAACAAGCATTATGACTAAGCAAATGAAGCCATATATAGCAAAGATACTCCTCAGAGTATCTCAAAATTACATAACAAGATCTAGCAGAATGCAATAAGATGAGCGATTTGATTAAGAGCCAACTCCGACAGCCGTGGAATCAAAATTCTCTTATGGATTAAAACATAATTTTACAAATTAAATTAAATAGACTTTACCAATATAATAAAATACAATTTTAAAAATTAAATGTGTATTAAAGATCTTCAACTGTATGGTTTGAGACCTCCTTGTTGGTTGTTTCGTGTTTCAATGATAATCTAATCTTCTTTTAGCTTGCTTTTGTTCTTTGGAAAACTTGCAGCATCCCGGAATAGTACATATCACATAGGACAAACCTGCACTCGTTGATGTTTATCATCAACAGCTGCAGTTAATGCAGGAACTACTTGGTTATGGTATTGTTCTTGAAAATTTGGACAGAAGAATTTCGACAACCGGGCAATTGCTTGGCAAGCAGCCAATCTGACTCGAGGATGAGGATCTTGGAGACAATTAAGAACCATATTCACTAGTTGCTCCAGATTCTTAATCATCACCTGTAGTAGCAAAAGAAAGCCATGATTCTGAGGTAATTTCCTATGAAAATAAATAAATCAAAGAGATAACTTCAAACAATAAACATAGTGTAAAGCATTCACGTAGAGCAATAGGGGCAAACTATCTTATAAATTTAAGCAGTATGCCAGCGGGAAAAAAACACCTCTTAAATGCTACAACTTGAAATAATATATTATATCCGTTATAATCAAACCATAGGCATAGTAAATAAACTAAGACAGCTGTTGTACCAGCTTTGAGCAACCTTCAGCAATCTGAGCAAGTGCAAAGAGGGCTGCATGGCGCTTCTTCCACTCTGGGGCAGCCGCATAAGCACACAGCTGCTCTATAGCAATATAACTAATAGACTTACCTCCTAATGCAATAGAAAACCGCTCTAAACACTTCTTACCAACATGGTAGTTACTTGTAGTCCCTGTATCATCATCCACATCCTTGGCATTATGCCAAGCGGGGTCATCCTTAATATCTAGTAATAAATTCAGTAACATTGTAAAACATCTGCTAATAAACAACGGTAACTTCTTCATCATCCCAGGTGTCCTCTCCCTAGCCTCAACCAATGTTATCAAAAATTCAACTGCCAAGCGCCTTGTCCCCTCTTGCAATTTCTCGTCCTCTGCTATATCCAATACTGAACCCACAACAACCACTAGTTGCCGCCTAAAGAACCTAGGCTCATTCTTCGCCAACTCAATAAAAAAATCCAGCACATACCGTGCTAGATCCTCCTGATCACCTATGCTCAACCCATCAGTCAATGTCCTCATCATACATGGCAATAGATCTTGAAACCGCTCATTCTCATTTGAATTGGCCGGTACACACTGAATGAAGCTGATCACAGTTCTTGTGGCAGCGATCCTCACGTTGAGAAAGAGGGTATCATCATTCAGTGTATTAAGGAATAGTGGGTGCAAATTCTTTATGCAAGGGACTATTGTTTCGCCTATGTCGTCAGCTAGCATCCCAAATACTAAGAAAGAACAAAATTTTAAGTAATTGTTTGAAGTTGAATCATCAGTGAGGCATTGATACAAGAAGGGAAATAATTCAGGCCATTTGTTATTTGGGAGAAGTGAAGCAGCCAGCTTCGAAACGGTGTTACTGAGCTCTAGCATGATGAATTCTGATTCTTCCAGGCTCATACGATTAAGGATTATACATTTGATGGTGGATTGAGTGGAGAGACTTAGATTGCGCCAAGTGCATAAGTCGTCATCATTGTCATCAGTAAGCAACTTGTTGAGGAGAACAGCACACTCTTCACGGTAATAAAGGTCGTGGGAAGGGCCAAGAAACTCAGCAAGCTTAAGAGCAAAGGAGTCAGGATCGTTCTGCTTCATCATCTTGAACATTGACTTAGCCTCCGAATCTTTTTCCTTGGAGCTCTCTATGTGATCGGAAATAAAGGTTTCAAATGGCTCAGACTCATGCCCGAGAATGGCCTCCATCTGGTCCTTTTGGAGCTGAGTCAACTCTCTATCCATAACTGTATTGAAATAGAATGAGACGACTAAGGATTTGTGAGAGAGACAATGAGGTTCCTGTGACATTAACTGAGAAAACTGCAATATATTGAGGATGTCAACTCCACATCCAACATTATATATTAAAGTCGACTCCTCTTTTTTGTTTCCAAAATTATTAAAGTCAACTCCTCTATTTTGTTTCTTTTACATGCAAGTGGCATCATAAACCAAGCACTCACTGATTATTTTAAATTAGACAAATCGCAAAGGAAAACTGGGGAGAATGTACTCAATGATTGTTTTTACAACCAAAAAAAAAGGAGAAAATAGTACTTATATGATTGAGTTATGCTCTTACCAACAAAATTTCCCATCTCAGCTACTGCTAGGCGTCACATTCCGTAGTCTCATAACAGGCATCGTCACTTCCGAGAATGAATGGTTGGTTTTGTGAATATTTTGAGATTTTGTTAGCATCTCTGCTTCTTGAGGTCTTCAGATTTTCGTCGGTGTTTGATTTATTACTCCTAGTTTTTACCATGATTTCAATGGCGGAAGTGGGTTTTACGGCCAGTAGGGGTTGCGAAATTTTGTTGTAAAAGCAAATTTTAATTAGATTAATAATAAATTTGAACCAGTTCACTAACTGTAGAGAGGCATTTTTTGCCCTCGTGACAAAAATCTATATTATATTTATATTTATTTATTTATACTATATTAAAAGTACGAATGCACTTAATGAAATACCGTTCACTTTTATTTACCCTTTAAAAGTGAAGTTTCCGCTATACAAAATAGTTATTTAATTATTTTTTTAATTTTTAGAATTTTGAACTCGTAGGAACTCCTTTTATTTAGAAATAAATCCAATAAAATTTTACTTTTATAAAATAATTTCCTTATTTAAATTGTATATTTAAGATTGAATTTTCACAAAGACTAGAAATCGAGGGTTCTGTATTCTAAAATAAACCTTAAGTAACGAACACCTTTGACATGAAATGCATCTTTGCCATAAGCTTTTTTTCCTTTTTTTTAAAATCTTTTAAGAATGATTGAAATATTTCTACAAAACAAATATGGTATATTTTCTTTCTATGTTTTTCTTTTGAAACCTTTTCTCCGCCCAAAGACTTTAACCAAAACAAGAATCTGAAAACTTTCAACAGAAATATGCTACTTAATTAGTAAACTTTGCAAAATCTTCAACTAGAAAGCCTAAGACAATATATAACACTCGAAAGTCTACTTAATTATTTTTTACTTTTTTTTAAATACTACTCTGTATAATAATAAAACTCTTTACACATCCAATATGCTCTTTAAAATACTATATGAAGTTCTAAAGAAACTAAGAAAGTATAAGACATTTTTAAAATAGATGTAGGTATTGGGGTACACGCGCGTCGCGCCCCTTAGAGAATTATCATTCGACTTTTTTATCCTTAAAAATCAATTTTATACTAGACAAAATAGTTATTTAATTATTTTTTTAATATTTAAGACTTCAAAATTTACTAAATTTTGTATATTAAACCATTTATTATTTGGACTATTTAATACAACAATTTTGTTGAAGAAAAATAAAACATAAAAATAACACTAAAAATTTCGCCCAATTCCTTTTAGGTAGGAGTCTTTTTTCTCTCACATATTTTAGTGTTATAAATTATAAATGTCTATTAGGTCAATTGAAGTTCGTGAAAAAGTAGTATGTATTCTTGCGTGGGTTGATAAAGTACGTCCATGAATGCAATTTTAACTCCATATAAAAAAATATAGAGATAGAAAGGAGGATAAATAAGTAACATTAAAGGGAAGTAAAGTTAATCTTTTAACAATTCAATTAGATATTTTAAAAAACAAATTAATGAAAAATAATTTTTTTTACTTACAAAAGTTTAAAACTATTGAGGGGAACTTATAGATAAAAAATTTCTATCATAGAAAACCTCATATACAAATAGGAATTCCTTTAAACCTATTCAGTATTTGTACATAAGATGATATTTTCAATTCCCATAAGGAATCTTGGACTGCCTCTCTCATCTAAAAAGTGGAACAAATTGGAATGTCAGCAACTGGTGGACAAAATCACTGAAAGAATCAACATTGTGTACTCTAAGAAATTGCCCTATGCAGGTAGACTTCAGGTAGTACTGGCAGTATTATTTTCCATTCACAGTTTATGGGGATCTGCTTTCACTCTCCCCCAAAGCATCCTCAAAGAAGATGACAAAAAATGCATGGACTACTTGTGGGGTGGTGCAATAGAGAAAAAAGAAGATTTCATTAGTGGCATGGAAAAAAGTTTGTAGACCAAAGAAATATGGGGGATTGAATGTCAAAAATTAAAGGGATTGGAACATGCCATTAGTTGGTAAATTTCTATGGCAACTATCTGAGAAGAAGGATTCCTTGTGGGTGAAGTGGGTTCATGGCATTTACATGAGAACTGTAATATGGCCAAATTTTCATAACATTTGCCATGACATAATATCCATTATAACAAATTTGTGGTTCATGACATTTGACATGATATAATATCCATTATAACAAATTTGTGGTTCATGACATTTGACATGATATAATATCCATTATAACAAATTTGTGGTTCATGACATTTGACATGATATAATATCCATTATAACAAATTTGTGGTTCATGACATTTGACATGATATAATATCCATTATAACAAATTTGTGGTTCATGACATTTGACATGATATAATATCCATTATAACAAATTTGTGGTTCATGACATTTGACATGATATAATATCCATTATAACAAATTTGTGGTTCATGATATTTGACATGACATAATATCCATTATAACAAATTTGTGGATCATGACATTTGCCATGACATAATATCCATTATTAGGCCAAGGATTTCTTGCTATAAATAGAGGAGTTTCTCCTCATTTGAAAACACACCAATTCAAGAGCTTTTCACTCTTGTCTTTTTTTTTCTCTATTTATTTCATTATAGAGTATTTTGTAAGAGAGTGAGTGTTGGGAAATACTTGTGTGAACCCTTTCTTTGGAGTGATCTTGTGAGGTTATTCTCTTGAGGTATTTGGGATTAATTAGAGTATTTACTCTAATTTTGTACTCTCTTTTGTACTCTTGTTGGTATAGTGCAATTGCTCCTCTCCGCTTGTGGACGTAGGTCACCTTGACCGAACCACGTTAAATTTGTATCTTCTTTATATTCTTTAATTACCATTATTATCAACTTCCATTGTCTTTGTTATTGTCATTATACTGTTATTTGGCTAAATTTCGCACTACCCGACTTCCCGATCCTAACAAATTGGTATCAAAGCCAGATCTAATCGGGTTAGTTTAAATAGCCAAAATGACTCTAACAAAGTCTTATGTTGAGAAATTTGACCGAAGTGCAAACTTCGGAATGTGACAATTAAAGATGGAAGCTATCCTAATTCAGGATGGCTTAGATTTGGCACTGCAAGGAAAGGAGAAGATGTCAGATAAAATGACAGACGAGGAGTTTACCGTCATAGACAAAAAGACAAAAACATGTATTATTTTAAATCTTTCAAATGAGGTTTTGCGTGAAGTTGCAGCAAAAAGCTTAGCCAAAGGCATATGAGAAAAGCTTAAAACCCTATATATGAAAAGAACAGTGGAAAACAGGTTTTACCTAAAGCAAAAACTCTACACTTTTCGTATGGCTGAAGGTACCTCTATACTTACCCATCTTGATACTTTTGATTCTCTTCTTATGGATTTAAGTAACATAGATGCTGAAATCAAAGATGAGGATCAAGCTGTGTTATTGCTTGTTTCCTTACCCCAGTCGTTTAAACATATTGTTCTTATCATATGTGTCCCAGTCAGAATTTATTTACCACATATAAATCTATTGGAGGTAGAGTTGTCTTGATGGGCAACAATGCTGCCTGCAAAATTATTGGATAAGGTACAGTCCGAATCAAAATGCACGATGGTATGGTGAGAACTCTCACCAATGTTAGACATGTTCTTGACTTAAAGAAAAATCTCATCTCTTTGGGCACTCTATAATCTCTTGGGTGCAAGTACACAGGTGAAGGTGGAGTTCTGCAAATTTCTCATGGTGCTCTGGTGATCATGAAAGCATGCAGATCTGGTATATTATATACTCTTTTGGGATCTACTGTTACAGGTGCTGCTGCAGTTTCAATATCAGATAAATCAGATTCTGACATCACCAAATTATGGTATATGCGATTGGGGCATATGAGTGAAAAAGGTCTTTTCATCCTCAGTAAAAGAGGTCTCTTATGTGGCCAAAGTACCGAAAATATGGAGTTATGTGAACATTGTGTGTTCGGAAAACAGAAAAGAGTCAGCTTCAAATCTCCAGCGATTCATAGAACAAAAGGTACTTTGGATTATATTCATTCAGATCTTTGGGGTCCTTCACGTACCCCATCAAAAGGTGGTGCCAGGTATATGTTAACTTTCATTGATGATTATTCAAGAAAAGTTTGGGTTTATTTCCTGAAAAATAAAAGTGATGTTTTCTTAAATTTCAAACAATGGAAAGTTTTGATTGAGAAGCAAACAGGAAAACAAGTTAAGCGGCTTAGAACAGATAATGGCTTGAAATTTNAAACTCTTTTGGAAAGGGCTCGTTGGATGATTTCAAATGCTGGGTTGACAAACACCTTTTAGGCAGAAGCTATCTCTACAGCTTGTTATATTATCAATCGAGCTCCTTCTGTACCTTTGAACTTTAAGGCTCCAGAGGAAGTGTGGTCAGGTACTCCTGCTAATTATTCTAATTTAAATATATTTGGTTGCCCTGCATACATGTATGTAAATGATGGAAAATTAGAGCCAAGGGCTAAAAAGTGTATTTTCCTTGGGTATGCCTTTGAGGTGAAAGGATACCGACTATGGTATCCTAATCCCATGGCACCAAAAATTATAATTAGTAGAGATGTAACCTTTGATGAATCCTCTATGTTACATTCTAGAAAAGAGTCTTCTAGTTCTTACGATACAGATAAAGGAAAATGTACACAGAACCAGGTGGAGATTGAGGTTGGCATTCCTTCTGAGCCAAGCTCATCAACTTTGGAGCAAAATACAGTTGAAACTCCTGAAGTTGAGACAGAAGCTGAAATTCCTGAAGTTGAGACTCCTGAAGTTGAACCAGAAGAAGAGGAGTATTCTATAGCCAAACATAGACCAAGAAGAGAAGGTAAACAACCATTAAGGTTTGGAGATTATGTTGCATTTGCTTTTTCAGTTGCACAGGAAACTGAAGAAATTGGAGAACCATCAAAATATTCAGAAGCAGTTTCTGGTGCTGACTCAGCCAAGTGGCTGATTGCAATGAATGAAGAAATTGAGTCTCTCCACAAGAATGGTACTTGGTCTCTTGTGAAGCCGCCATCAGGAAAAAGAATTGTTGGTTGCAAATGGGTCTTCAAGAAAAAGGATGGCATTCCAGGGGTTGAAGATGCGAGGTATAAGGCACGATTAGTTGCAAAGGGCTATAGTCAGGTACAAGGAGTTGATTTTAATGATATTTTCTCACATGTTGTTAAACATAG